ATTAATTGAAGAACTTTTTTTATCACTCCAACAAGAGGCCCCGTGCCCACTAACAGTCATTCTGCCTTGATGTACCCATTCTTCCAGCACTTGCAGCTACCAACTACTGTTTTTATAAATCACAACAGACGTGCAGGTTTACTGGCAATGGATACAAATGGAAGACTGCAGGCAAAATTATCTTTCTGCTTTTTCTGGGAAAATCAGAAAACCATCTGGGTGTGATGGTACACACCTGTAACCTCGCCTCCGGACCCTAAGTTTAAGGCCAACTTTGTCTACATAATGAGTCTCCAGGGTAGTCAGAGCTACATAGTGAGAGTCTTTGTAAGAAAAAAAACAGGCTGGGGGCTGGAGAGATGGCTCAGAGGTTAAGAGCACTGGCTGCTCTTCCAGAGGTCCTGAGTTCAATTCCCAGCAACCACATGGTGGCTCACAATCATCTACAATGAGATCTGGTTCCCTCTTCTGGCCTGCAGGCATACATGTATACATAATAAATAAATAAATCTTTAAAAAAAAGAAAAGAAAAGAAACAGGCTGGATGGCTCATCAGTTATGAGCACTTGTTGTTAATTTTCCAAAGGACACAGGTTCAATTCCCAAGCACCAACATCTGCAGCTCACAGCTGTCTGTAATTCCAGTTCCACAGCATTGGACGCCCTCTTCTGGCCTCAGCAGGCACTGCATGAATGTAGTACACAATTTGAGATGTATTTAGATCTCAAAAAAGAAAAAAGAAATAGCTCATCAGTTAAGAGCACTTGCTGTTCTTCCAAGAAACTGAGTCTGGTTCCCAGAATCTATATTGAGTGGTTCACAACTGCCTGCGACTTCAGCTCCAGGGATCCAAGTCAAAGGAGCTGGTGGGATGAACAGACTGCTCCTGCACTGCTAACGTCAAAACAATACTTATGTGACTGTTCTGTGTGCAGTGGGGAGCTGCTCTGGCTATGACGTGAAGCACACCCCTAGAGAGGGAGCAGGTAACTGCTCCACCTGCCCTTGACCTTGAAGTACATCTCCTTGGGGCGTGGCCTCTCAGGATCCTTAAGACCTGAGATGGCACTCATCTCTCCCCTTGTGGTTTTGGATGCCGAGGCGGAAGACCAGCGTGGACCATAGCTCGGCTTTCCAGGACCCTGCGATAAATCTGCTGTGCTGTAGTGTAGTAAGTTTCTATCCCCTAATAAATTCCTTGCCATTTAAACAGACTCCGTGGATTTCTCCCGTTACTTGTGTGTGTGAGTGCAAGTGCCCTCAGAAAACAAAGAGCCTCTGGAGCTTGAGTTACAGACTGTAAGTGCCCTCACGGAAAAGCACCAAGAGCTGTTAGCTGCGGAGCCGTTTCTCCAGCCGCAGACTGATCATTTCTATGCATTTTTAAAATTTTAACAACAAAAAGGTAGATCCAACACACAGAAACTAGCTAGACATAAGTAGCAGTCTTCTCTGGCTATCAGCCTTGAGAATAAGAAGTTACACGAGACCCCGTCTCAAACAAACAAAAAGTGTTACCCGACCATTTACAGTATTATATAGCGGAACCCCCTCATCTTGATTGTTACCCCTCCCCCCGGCCATTTTTTGTTGTCATGATAGAGATCATTCGTTAGTTATTCACCCATGAGCCCACCTAGCCAATGAAAGGCTTTATTTTGTACACTGTGGCACTATTTAGAGTCATGTGGAGAAGGAGAGTGGTGGTGTGCTGGAGAGATTAGTTAAGAGCACTAGCTGCTGCCCTTGAGAAATCCAGAGTCTGGATCCCTCCCTTCACCCCATCCATGTTGGATAGCTCATAACTACCTGCAGCCCTAGCTCTAGGGAGTTTAAGCCCTTTTCTGGACTCCAAAGGCACCAATACACACACACACACACACACACACACACACACACACACACACACACACACGGGG